ATAGATTTATACATAAAACTAACACATAAGGAAAATTAATTTCTTATTTCCCCGAAAAGGTGCCAAAGGCTGCCTGGAAAGGTCACTTGTTTTAACCACTCGCACCAATATACAGTAGTGTGTTGTCTGTCAGCCACTCAATAGAAACTAAAATGACGTAACCTAACGTTGTAATTTATACTGTCGTGACGTCAGTAAAATGTGTGCATGCCATGAATCACCAGAAGAATTATATACTCTGTAGGTTACAACGCAGTATGACATATGAACTTAAAAGCAAGAAATAAAAATATTTTTGCTCCTAATTTTGGTTTTATTTACTCTTGAAACAGAATACTTTCGGGGACCCTGCAGAGGTACATCTAGTTTATTATTCGGAACTTATGATACATGAAATACATATTGATCGTTTAACAGTAAAGCAGATCGAATCACATTTTAGTCTTAAGAAAACGGTAGTTTAAAATTAACATTCTTTTAGGTCTAAGCTAATGGTTTTAGTTGGAAGGATGTCTAGATTATTCGGATTAGCGTGGCCTTACGAAATTAGAAGACTTTCTCACTAATTGATGTGTTATGACCCGTGGTTTTCCCATGCAATCGAAATCCTGAGACTCAGGGTTTTACAATGTAAAAGCCAGTTGTACTGGATACCTCTGTGTTTATAGACTAGTTTTACAATGACATTTAGTTTTTACCAATACAAGTGACCTCACAGTCACTCCAAGTGTACAGGGTGTCCGAAAAGTCTGGAACTATAGGTCCTTTGTAGTTTTTCTTAATTTCAGATACGTGACTGATTATGAGGCTGTCAAAGCATAAAAAGATCGAGTTAATCCAAACTTCATTCGGATAACAAAGATATAATGTGGAACACATTAAGTAAAATTCCAGATTTTGCGGACTCCCTCTATTTGTATAAATATGAGAGAAGGAGAGTTGGTAGTTGACTGTTTTATTGAAAGATTTAAACTCAAAAACTAGGTTTAGAGATCAATCTGAGGGTAGAAGTTTTTATCAAACTAGAGATTTGTTTTCAATGTTCAAACTTTGAGAACCCACGAACGGTAGACAGATAATAAAAGGCGTATGAGATTAGTTAAAAAGTTCGTGTAGGAGTCATTTTGTTGAGAGATTGCGCGCGAAAAAGGGCCGCATTTTTATTAAAACGTGCCCCAGGTCCTTAAGATTTCCAGCTTCCCCTTTGGAGATTTCATAGTGAGTTGTTGCTACTAGACATGTTTACATTTTAGGTCTAGACATATTTTTTTATCATATTAAACATGGTTAAGAATGACCTAATTTATTTATTGTTTTAAACATAAAATATTAATTAACCCAAGTCGCAGTCTCTTTTGAAATATAAAACACGCCTATTTCTACATTTCCTTTTGAATTTTTCAGCGCTCTAAGCCTGGGACTTGTACACCTGCTGGTGGATAAGAGTAATTTCTTCGTGTAGACGGGTGTAGTTAGAGAAAAGGTTAAAACTTTTGTTATAAGAGATAGAATTAGATTACGTTTACCGGAATAAATCTGTCACAACTTGTTTCAAAACTGTTAAAACTATTTATATGATATACAGGAGTAGCAAAAGTCTTTGGACGTCTTGATATCCAGAAAAAGGTTTGTTTGTTTGAAGTTAAGCACAAAGCTACACAATGGGCTATCTGTGCTCTGTCCACCACGGGTATCAAAACCCGGTTTCTAGCGTTGTAAGTCCGCAGATATACCGCTGTGCCACTGGAGGACTCAGAAAAAGGAGCGATCAAAGTTTTATTTTCGGAAGTTAACTTATTTTCATAATCGAAATTTTTCGTTGTGAAGCGCCTCAGTGGCTCAGCTTACGACACTAAAAATTCGGGTTTCGATACCCGTGGTGGGCAGAGCACAGAAAGCTCATTGTGTAGCTTTGTGCTTAACAGCAACCAATCACAATATGAAAATTCATCACAAAATTCATTCAATTCTGCGAAAAAATTCAACAATATTCTTGCTAAAGATATAACAACCATTTTAAAACTTTCACGTATAGACTTTTGATTCCTTGGAATCGTGTTTGAGGTAAAATTAAACAGCTTTAGTGTATTGACCACCAATGGTTTTAAAAATTGTTAAATAGAGTTAATATTAGCTAAGTTTGGCATTGCATTATTATATTTTTCTTTCTTTTTCGGCGTTTAGAAAAGACTGAATGTTATTTACTACTCCCTTCAACCACTTCTAGCTGGTTATTACACTTCAGGATATAGTTAAGTTAGACTGGTGGTAAAAGTTTTTAAACAAACTAACAATTAAGTTTAGCTAGTTGTTTAATTCTGATTACATTTCACATGGTTATATTACAATGATTATGACAGTTATTATTTTGAATCTTCACAAACATTGATTTTTGATTGTGCCATGTGAAATTTGATGCTACTAACTCAACACGGTTAAACTAAAATATATTGGTTTAACTGTCACAGCTAGGCTAGCCTCTGACGTTATAAAGTTGGATACCATAATAGGTAGGATTCCAAACATTAACGACTATGGTACAAGAAAAGAAGCAGTGTTTGTGGGTTCCGTAAGTAATGTATGCTATATTTTTTATTTATTGTTGCTTTCATTAATAATATTGGTTACACTAGTTAGTATATCGAATGTAATTGCTTTTTTAGTTTAATTTATTATAATGATCGTTTTGCAGTGTTACCTTAAAATATGTATTTAGGACTAACCTAAATCTACTAAACTGGCCAAACATCATGAGATATTATTGGGTTTACGACCGAAAATATCGTTATCAGCGATATTCTAGTCAATCCTTGATGCCATTTATTGGTTTATAAGTAAACGTTTGAAAATATGCCACCAAACCACTATCAATATTGAATTAGAATTCATCAATAAGAAACCAATAGTTGGGTTTAATCTCAGACGATGTAAGTAAGAAAGAAAAAACGCTGTTTTCAGAATATTGTGGTTTGAATATGAAGAAAAACTGAGTAAACATCATATCTGTATCTACCTTTATCTAAAAATATTATATTTATGACATTATATATTTATATTATTATATTTACACCTTGTTTTGTTTATAAATTCTTTATGTCATCAACTGAAACAGACTATATAAACACCCTCAATAGTTATGAGTACATCCTGTGAACTTGAGTGGTGTTTCAGGCCAAGCTAATGTATCATTCTACCTTACATTGTGATTTGTTTATGTTTATAAATAACTGAATTTCTTTATAAGAACTATAGATAATTAGTAAATCAGTCATTGTATTGCAATGTGAAAATTCAAACTAGTTGACTCTCCTGGTGAAACCTGATGAGGAAGGTGTTATGGCATGAACTGGACAGACTAAAAAAAGTGAAAACATACTATCCAATGGGGTAAATGGTGTATTCCTCTAAAACAAATTATAACTGACTGTACTTAACCATATCTTTAAAAGAATCTTCTTAAATTGACACGCAAGAAAAAAATTCAGTGTATTTTTTTTTTCCTGAAGTTAAAAAAAAAAGAAAGAGAGAGAGAGACTGAGAGCAAATAAAGTATAAATTAATGGTTTGTTTGTTGTTAAGCACAAAGGTACACAAAGGTCTATCTGTGCTCTGCCTACCACGGGTATCGAAACCCAGTTTCTAGCATTGCAAGTCTGCAGACATACTGCTGTGCCACTGGGGCGTATAAAGTGATGGGTATATACAACCTTTGTTATCATGTTTGTTGACTATGATAAATACATTTTAGCTAAACTTTCTCTTGTAAAACTCTTATGAGGGTTTTACACTTTTTAGTTTTTACAATTGAACAGCTCATCATTCCAAATACACTAAAGAGAATGATTTTACATAAACTGTTTTTAAAACTAACCTATTTTGCTATAAAATTCCAATTTCTCTCTCGTTTTTTTGTTTTAAATATATCTTCCTACTGAAATTCAATTCTATATTTCAATAACAATTTTCCAAAATGATATAAAGGTAATTTTAATCATTTAAATCAGTAGCAGAAATGGCCCAACTCCTTTCAGTTAGTAATGCAGTGAAACAAATCCATCAGAAATAATTATTATGGATAGAAAAGTATTACTAATGAATGTTTGTTTACCATACTACTTGTCAATTACAGAAACTTTTCATTCTAGTCTGTACTGTCAGTTATAAAATAATTCTTTTCTTTATCAGTATGAGTACAATTTGGAAATGCTAGTGCTTTCTACATTAGAGAAAGTTCTGGGAGTTTTTAACCCATCAGCTGAAAAGAATGATATTGACTAAATTCACAAGTTAATCAAGTTTCACTTCATCAGATAAATGATAAATACAGGTTTTAAAAATCATATAATAATGTTCTTCTGCTTCCCTTAAATATTAATGAGAAACCAACAAATACCAGATCACAAGCAAATTTTTTTTACCCATTTCTTAAGTACTGTAAAACCAAGCAAAGGGAACTTTTCCAAAATATTTTCCTGTTGTTTTATATTAACTGCATACAAGTTTAAAGCAGAAGCTAGGTCTCTTCTTTTTTTCCATACATTAATTGCTTGTAATTTTCTTTATTTTGTGGATTAAAACTGCTTAATGGAAAGCATGAATCCAAGATTTCATTTGTTTTTTTTAGAAGAAATGAAATGAGTGATTTTGTTTTCACAGTAATAGATATCATAGCAAATATGTCAAAATATTTTTCCAAGTATCAGCATCTTTCTAAAAGTACTTTTTTTTTTACTAAGTGTACTAACCAGAACTGTAACCTACTATATGGTATAAACAAAACTGTAACCTACTATATCATATGTTGTGATTGGGTTTTAAAAACAATCAAGTGTTAAAAAATCACTTGTAACAGACAGAAACAATTATTCACTTTTATGAAAATCTCCATATAAAAAGATTTTTTGAGCAAAAGACTGGAGTAAATATTTCAGTCTGCAGTTGGGATAAAATTCTAATGAATAACCATTGTAACTCAGATAAATAACACCAAATGACACTGCTCAACTAGTCAATCAAATTTATTTTCACAAAACTACAAGAAGTATATCAGTCTAAAATTCTATATTTTGTAAAGTGAGATATGTGCCTAATTCTATATTATATTTAGGAAATACCAACTTAACAATTCTAAACATTCATGTAAATATATTAACTATTCAAAAATGTAATTCATAAGCAACAAGAAAAGTTTATTGCTTGCTATAACTATAAAAACTGTTTAGAGATAACACTTCACTGGTGATACAGTGATGATACCTACAAAAAAACACACCTTTAAATAACTGTTTTAAACTGAGCACTTTTCATTAATGGCATTACAGGTATTTTCATGTTTCAGTGTTTGTTTGTCTGTTGGATTTTGTGCAAAGCTACTTGTGCTAGCCATCCCTAATTTTGAAGTAATATACTATAAGGAATGCAACTAGTCAACACCACCATGAAGTCCTGAGCTATTCTTTCCAACAAATAGTGGGATTGACTGTCACATAATAACACCCCCATGGCTTAAAGAGGGAGCATGGTTGGTGAGTGTCTGTGAATTGTGATTCAAATATTTTAACAACCAGGTCATGCCATATCTTATGTTTCAATGTATTATGTAAAAAAAAAGAAAAAAAAGAGCAAATAAAACACACAATGATCTCAGGTAAGGTGTATCAACATTAGGGCATACAGCACATTTTAAACAACATTACCAATAAAAACAGCATTAAATGAAATGGCTCTTTTGCATGCTTAATAAATAAATATGTATTCAAATTTCAACAAAATCTCCTTATTTTATCTGTTATATTTAATTCAATTATTTGTAACTTCAAGAAATTTAGGACTGGCCAACTGCCATGATTAAGCCTTGATACAGTGATTAGATTGTCAACTGAAACAATGATATGCCTTTTCTTAGTCCTTCAAGTTGTGTGAATTATGATTTGCAACTATAGCAACACATCTGAAGAAACCAAATCTGCACTGATTTTGTTTTGGTGGCAGGATTTGTATTTCTATCATAAGGAACCATAATGTTTCTTTACAGGCTTAGCTTAATGGTTTCATGCTTTATATGTGTCATACACTATCATTATTGCACAAAAGTATAAACAAATTTTTTCAAGATTATAAACATTTAGAAAAAACATTATTAAAATATAAGACTAATTGGCATTGTGTGTGTGTGTATATATATATATATATATCCAACAAAATTCATTAAGTTAATTAAATTTTTTCAGTGATTGAAAAAGGAAATTAATAAGAGCAATTACTAATTTAACTTAACAACAACAAAATATCATATAAATAAAATGACACTAATAACTTTCAATGAAAGTTCTATACTAGACTTCTCAGGCTTAAATTAATACTTACAAGTACTTTAGAAGTGATTAGCATTGTAAATACCATGTTGAGTTCTTGGGTCTTAGCACTGTGAAACTACACAATCACTAAAACAACAGATCTGGCTAACAATGAATTAATTAAACTCTCCTGTACTTTCTTAGGTTTTAGATTTTGATATGCATCACTATGGTATTTATATATTTAAAAACACTTTACAACACAGTCTGTTACAATAATTCAACTGTACGTATAAAACAGTTAGATGAGTTGTATACATATTACAAAATAAAGCAATATGTATACATACTAAGAGAAATCATAAAAAAACATTCAGCACCATTATGTCATATTGGTGATTACCTCTCAGCTTAACATACGTAGTTCAGCTGTAACAACACTTAACAAACACAGATATCACTTAAAAACCTTTTTTTATCCTGTATCAACACAAAGAAAATGTGTAACTAAAACTGACACTCCCACCATGGAACTGTAGAACCATTATGAAATTACTGTATGTAAAAGGTAAGTTATAGTAAAAATCTCAAGTTATAAAATTATGTAATAATAGTGTGCATAAAAAATTCAGCTGTATTTTATATCAATTCAGAAGAACTATTCTATCATTTTACCTGGAGAACACTGATTCAACTGATTGCAAGTCACACAGAATTTATGTTTCTTTTTGAAAAATGTGAAGAATTTCATAATTAATATGTATGTCTATCCACCTAGAAGGTTAAGTAGATGATTCTTCTTAATAACAACATAAGTGTAATGAAAGTAACTGTAAAATGACATGTTCCATAATAAGATAACACACATCTTTACTTCAACAAATCATACTCAATTTGAATTTCATTTCAATGTAGAAAATTAAGATTTCAAAGATGTTACTGTATCTATGGAAGGATGCATGTTCTACTTCCTGTATTGGAGAATTAGAGAAGTATGGAAGTGAGTAACCTAACAAGAAGATAAAGGATACTTAGTGAAAGGATTTTAAACCTTGGACTAGCCTGTAATCTACAGCAGTGGTTCCCAATAGCCAGTCAGCAAGACAGTTGGAAAAGAAAAAGTGTTTTCAAATATAGCTACTGAAATATATAGTTTCAAATGTAATTTAAAATGTTGATATTGTAACAAAATGGGTTGTAAAATTTTGGGATCAAACTAGCTGGTCCTAAGGAACAAAACAAACCTTAGAAGACTAAAGCTTGTAGTTTTCTATGGGAAGAGCCCTATTTAAGTAAGTTATATAATGTGCAACCAGTTTCTGAATTCTGTGAATATGACAAACACAAAGAGTTTAAGAAAGACAAGAGAAAACTGACAATTTCAAAATAGTCTCCTCAATAGAATATCACTGTGGCAATAAATAGAAAACTAAGGGTGGAACTTTTCCAAGCAAACAAAGATCAATCAGTGATAAAGCAGAGATAGAACAGCTTATCAAAACTGGCAAACAGCAAGACAGATAATAAGCAAAAATAAAATACCTGAGACTCAAAACAATTCCAAGACAAATTCTATAGCTATCAGGGAAAGGAAGTTCATCAGAGAAGTACAAAGGGGAAGTTACAGAGTTACATTTAACTGGCCCAACAACCAACGGAGGGAAGCTGACAATAAAGGTGGAAAGATAACAAGATATTCTAAGTTGTCATGAAATGTGGTGTTTGTAGCAAACCAGTTGACTAAGTGTTCCACTGAGTGTTTCATACAATGAACTATTATTATTGGTGGAGAAAAGCCTCTTAAGTTCACGGATAAGTTGAGAGAGCATAGTTACAAGTCCCAAAATGAGGTATTAGAAATGGAGAAGAAAGGTTCAAGATTACAGTTCATCAACAGGTAAGCTAATTTTCATTCAAAGATAGCGTAGCACACTTTGATTAAAATTGTGATGGGCTTTGTAACCATTACAGTGAATGGAAATTTCCACCATGAATTATCACTGTACTCAAAAATTTTCATTTAACATTTCAATGAGCAATGTAATCAACATAGTTATCAATACACAATCATTTCTAATTAGTACTCCGATAGGCCTTGTATTAACTTAGTGATAGTTGGGCATTATAAATTTTTAATGTGCATAAAAACAACATCTATTTCAGATTACAATGGGCTTTTCTCTCATTCTACATTGAATGTTAACTATTTGTGCACAAATGCTTTTGATTATATTAGGAATATTAATAAAACACTGCATATGTACACTAACAATGTGTGTGCAAATGTTCAAGTTTCATTCATTCTTATGAAAGTCCTATTATTCTAAGTAACTAACACAAGTCTGATACAGTATCTAATTTCAAACAATTATTGTAAACATTACAATTAACAGAATAATGTTCACACCTCCTTGATAGCAAAATATAACAAGTGTAATCAGGCAGAAATTAGAAATTATATAGAAAATAATTAAAAGGAAACAAAGTTTTTGTTACACAAAACTAATAAGTATGATGACAAATGAAGCAATATTTAGATGAGATAACAAGTAAGCTATAGATTATAGTCTTGGTCAAGAGAGAAAATATAAGTTTAGTAAATTAGTTACAATTTGGACAAGATAAAATTAAAACAACATAGTATTGTACTTCACTCTTCGAGAGACCGTAACTTCCAGTGCCCTCTCTATTTGTGTTACACAGTGACAGGGGTCAGTTTAAATATTATTACTATTCATTGTACAATTCTATTATTAATTCAACTTGTTTTTTATTATATTTTCTCTTTAGACATTAGTTTTTTGCTGTACTATTTGTACTGTCTTGCTACATGACTATGTCAAACAATGTATTGTAACCAGTTACCTCAAATTGTAAGCTAAACTGAAGATATACTATTAGAGTTATTTTAACTGACTTTCAGTGATCATTAGATGCTGTTAGGGAGAATTACATTAAATTTACAGTAAAGTGATGTCATGTTATTCAAGGAAAATGGAATGTGAATAGTGCATGAAGTTAACCACTAGCATTTGTGTGTTTTTGAAGTAAGCTGTACTCTAGTCTTTCTTTAATGTTAATTTTATTACCAATATTGATTAAAAATGTATAATGTATTTTTATTATTTTTTACTAATGTCTATTATAATTATCATTTTGCATTGGAGGCTTAGCTTACAGATTTTGTAGTAACTTAAATCTCCTAAGATGACAAACCCTAGTAGACTTTTTATTGGGATTACGGACAAAAATATTTTAACAGCTAATTTTTATTCAACTGATAAAAAATGCATTCTTCTTATTATTATAAGTAAAAACATTATATCAAGTGTAATTACTACTGAGTTGATTTTTAGGGCTGATTTGTATAGGTAGCTTACTTTTACCAGAAGTTAATATTAGGTATTGTTAAAATAAACTACGTTTATGCTTATTAATAATTGTTTAATGCTTTTGAACATTTCAGCTGATCAGCTACCATCTGTTGGCAGGTTTTTTTCACATCTATTTAATAAAATCTGAGGAAAAAACATCATATAGTTATCCAACAAGGTAAGATGGGGACCCAAAAAACAACACCCATAAGAAATCAAATTCAATAATCAACTATGCTGGCATATATGAATTATTAATATAACCATCACCTATATACCAATGATTTCATCAGTACTGAATAGTCTGGTGTTGCTGAAATGTTGAAAATCAAAGAATGCCTACAGATCATCCACATAAAACTACCACATCTATTTAACTACATTGCTAATAAAATTCAGTCTAAGTTGAACAATTGACAAATTCAACTTCAAGGTGTGCCAACTTTGAAATAGCATGACAATTTTAATAAAGAATATTTTTAAAATGGACAAAATGCAAAGAAACAGATGGATATAATCCATTAAATAGTTATTGCATGACCAAAATTTTTATTTATGGGCAAAAGTTACCAAGAATAGAAACACCACTTACGGCTATAACATTACAACCTCTCTTATGTTTTATAGTTTTGAAAGCAGATAACACCATCCAAACACTGTTACACTATACAACAGATGCTTATATTCTGCTTTTCTTTTTACATTTTAAGAATTGTGATGTTATGAAAACAAAGATATGATATAATGAGAATTGTAGTTTTATATTTGCAACCACATATTATTTAATATTAAAACAATATTCAAACTTAAAATGTTACTGAAGCCTTTGTATATAATGTGTGGTCTCAATATTCTCATTTGTACTATAAAAACTGTCTTCGTTAAGAAATGCAAATTTGAAATACAACCCCTTTGATCTCAGAAACTTTAAAAGGAGATTAGATCTACTTTTCCAACCTGACATTATTTTAACTTTTTTTTCATCTCCTAATCATATAACTGACTCAAATTCTAAAAACTTACAAGCGTTATACTCTATCTTCTAACAGGTTTATCATACATTTATTTTTCATACAACTCTAGAAGTCCAAATATCACAGAGACATCTAGAACAACTACAACATAATAACCTGGACTGATGAAATCTTACTAAGTTGCTTATCCTACTGATGAGCAATGTCTATTATTTAAGTTACTGGAATGTTTGAAACTGGCAAACATTACGAGTACAATAATCAAATCTTGAGTCACAATAAAAAGCTTTTCAAAAAAAATCAGCTTGTTCAATGAATTTTCCTCTTAAATACTTTTATGTTGATGCTGGTGAAAATGTGTCACTGTGTTGGCAAATGGAATAAAGTTAACACGATTCAAACCTATATTCTCGCTGGGTACTGTTACATGTGAAATATTACATCCATATGGAATTATTTCACTTTTTTACAAAGTAATGAATGGACTTCAATAAATTTCATAGAAAAAGTGAGTGTTGGAAAAGCATTAAAAATCCCAGGATTTGGCAAAAGTAAGCCAAAATTAAATTTCTTGAAAAAGTAGCTCCAATCATTTATATTAATATCCTATGGGAATATTTAATAAGGTTTCCCTCCCTGAAATGAAAAATGTTGATTAGATGTTATCATATCTTAGGCAGGAGATTGGTAGATAATGATGTCACATCTTTACTGTTTATATGTGGTGTCTGAAGCAGACACCATGGCCCTATAGTTTTACAAACATAACATTTATCTTCACTACAAACTTGAAAACTAATGAGTCTAATTTAGCATCCATCTTTACTAAAAGCCTTATAATTGACCAGTCTTCTTCAGCACCTATTTCTACCTTAAAGCTTGAAAACTGACCAGTCAGCCTTTAATAAATTTTGAGAACTGACCAGTATATATTTTTTTACTGAAAACTGACTGGAACACTTCATTAATTGTCCTGAATTGTGGTTGAATTTGTCATTACTCAGAATTAAATTCCTCCATAATATGCATGAAATTATTCACCAGTCAGAAAAAAAAACAAAAAACTACTTAAGTACTTTGAGTATGTGAAAGCAGACTGGACACAACTTTAAGGAGTGTGCGTGTGTATTATAACATGTCACTTAGCTGTAATGTGCTAAATGTTCACATTATGATAAACTCAAGTTCTACCAGTCTCACTTTCAACAATATTTAAAACAATAAGCACAGAACTTATGATGCCTTAATTTCAACACCTGGACTTATTTGCATTTACTCTATTTTTTAAACGTAAAGTGTTTCTAATTATAAATAAATGCAAACAATACCATCAAGAACTTATTCTTAAGTAATCACTATGTATTACTTGTTCAGTAATGTGAATCACTCCACATCATGATTGGCTAACGTGTGCACAGCCTTATTTTCAATAATCTCCACTTTGACAGGATTGGGAGTAAGAACTGTTTTCACCATAGCTTTAGCCAAGTAGCTGGTTGGGACAGACATCAGGGTTGGAAAGAGGCTGGTAATTGGCTTCATTACTGTGAGAGCTGCACGTTCCAATGGACGGGATTCTCGGCGGTTGCAAAGCAAAAACCTTAGATCATATTATGCCATTGATTAAAATATGCTAATGTTTTCTGTCATTTTTTTTTATTTATCAAATCTTACCTGATTTTTATAAAATAAACTATTTCTTGCCAAGTAGGTTACTGGTTATAATAAAAGGTGTGCACATTAAACTGTAGTTCTTAAGTGAAACTTATTGACAGTTAAACCTTTTGTTAAACCATTTATTTAATAGAATGAGTTATTCCACATCAACTCAATCAGCATGACATGCTTCATTCTCTCAAATTTTGCTGATATTTCTGGTATGTGTACTTTATAATTTCAGTACTCTTGAAAGTTATGACTATTTAAAGTAGAGTTGTTCACAAAATGTTTATATTCTCCAGTAACATTTAGTCTTATAAACAGATGTACATCTGTTCTACAAACTACAAATTTCACAACATTTTATAATATTCATGTTTTCACATAACTTTCCATGCCTGCAATAGGAGCGTATCCAGTTTGGAAACAAAAGTCTAAGATTTGATATGATCTTCAAAGTAGATTTTTCTTTGATTAATCCCCTAAAGTTACACAAAATTGTGAGGATGGCCTTTTTATATATATCATACAACAGAGATGCATGTGTGTGTTAAGGATTCAAAGGAATAGACAAGCTGAGTGAATGTTTATAAATTTAGGAAAAACATTTCTAAATTAAGATTATAAAATTTAAACCTTCACACCAGCTCTATAGTTTGTTTGTAGTCCTTGAAGTTTTTAAAGTTATTATTTTATACCAAGACTGTGTATTTTAGACTTGAAAAACAAACTTGTTTGCGCCGAGTCATTAATCATAACCACCTGGAAAGTATACAATAAAAATTGCCTGAGAATGGTGATAAGGGCTATAACTTTACAAAATGATATACTTATACAACAAGTTTGTAATGCAATGAATTTTCAGTTTTTTTTCTAAAAATTGACCTAAATTAAATATGTGGTTATCTATCTGGCATTAGCATTGAATGTCAAGAAAAACAAACAAAAACATTGGTGTCCTAAGTTAAAGGTTCTATGATATTGTTTCATATCAACAAAAACTCATAATTAGCTGCATATCAATTGATTCTGAAGACTTATGTGACTTTGTAGAAATTTGTTCTTAACTACTGCTTTCAGAACTAGGGAAACCATGCAAGCTATAGATTATGCTGCTGTAGTTGATGAGACAAAAATTGCTCAAGTAGTACAGACTGGAAAGAGTAACTGTCAATCTTGTTATAGCAGTGATGATAAACTATTACAATGTAATAAAATAAATCTTTGTCCTTGTGGTGATGTTGTGAGCCTTTCCAATCTGGTTAACTACCCAATTTTTTTTCAAGTATAATAACTAAAACAAAAGTAGACTTTTCTGCCTTGTCTCTCGATTTTCCCAAGACCTTTGTGACAAAGTAATTAACTTTCATAAAAACTGAGACAGTGTAGATACCTTTACTTTTAGGTTCTGGTATACAGTCTGAGTATAGGACAATGACTTAAACATATAACAAACTATAAACTAAAGTCTTCAATTAAATTTCAATAATTTATACTTCTGAATGCATTTTTTTCTTACATATACAGACATTTACTCAAGATTTATGTAAGTTTTATCATTCTTTTCTGATAAGAGAAAATACTTATATAGATAAGAACTGAAATTTATCTAGTAATTAATACAGCAAATGTTTGATATACATTATAATAAATAGAATGCAGTGATTCATCAGTTGGGTACCATCAATACCCTCTTGTTAGTGAAAGTTTTGGCTGTAATCTCAATAATATTTTATGCCAGTTCAGCCAGATTAGGAGATTTAGTCAACAATGCAATATAATCTTCATAATAAAATATATCAAACATTCTAACCAATACTGCTAATGAAACTAACATTAAAAGAAGAACAGAATATAATTTGCTTACAGAACACATAAAAATTAGTTGTTTGCTTTGTACAGTATCACCGATTCCCTGTCCCATGAAAAGAATGACATCAGTACATGTATGTATTTTCCTCCATAACATCTAGCAACCAATGGAAAGTCCACTAGAAGGCTCTGAAAATTCAACTTTAGATAGCTAAACATCTGAGATAAATTACAATGTCACATCACTATTTAACTGTAGAGTCAGGTAGCAGGGTGGTACAAAGCAGTACTCTACAATAACCAAATTAAATGTAACAAAAATAACACAACTAATCTGACTTTAGCTACCCCTACATATACGTTCAATTTATTTAGTGGGTAGCCAGATATTATAGATAAAGTTAAATTCTAAGAACCAGATAAAATGTATAAGTGATAATAACATACAACAAACAGTAATAATAAGTCTTAAACAAGGAAATAACAACAATGATATATATGACAATTAAAGTAATTAAAATCAACTAACATAGTACTGCTATAAAAGGAACAGTAATACAGCTTGCATTAACTACAGTGAGAAGTAAAATTAACAATGTTCCTAATATTAAAGTTGTTCATTACCACCGAAAGAAAAGTATGGTGCAGATATAATAGATTTTAAAAGCATAGGTAAAAATGACCATCTTTACTAATATGAGCACTCTGAGAGGATTAATTACTAAAAAAAATCGACTTTGATGACCATATCAGATTTTATTTTTATCTCCAAAAATGGATATGTTTGTATTTTCTGGACATGTTACGGATTCAGGCTTGGAGAATTACTATGCAAAATTACTTTTCTTAAAGGTTATAAGTTGTGAACTTTGGTGAAATTTGAAGTTTGTAGAACAAATATTTCTTCAATGTTAAGAATTTAAACATTACTGGATAATATAAAATTAAGATATTTTGAGCACCCTTATATTTATTTAAACAATCAAATCTTCCTTAGCAGGTTTGTAACACTCAAATTTAGCACAAACTGTTATTAATATAACAAAGTACAAGTATTCAAAATATCAGCTAAATTGAGAGGATAAGATATATTAGATATTGAGTGAATCAATAAGAAATGACTCAAATTTAAAATATACTTGCTTACATTTCCTACTTATGATTTACCAAAATAAAAACCTCATCTTTTTTTAATCTCAAGGATTCAAGCCAATTCTTAAAATAACTGACATAATCTGCTTATATAACCACTGAAGATTATAATATCAGGTTTAATTGGATGTCTATCCATCTTAGCAAAAAATAAATCATGCCTCACTATTCTTTTAAACATTTTAACAGCCATAAAAAATTACATACTGTTACTTTTTTTATTATTCTTTCTAATACTATTAATACTACAAGTTAAATATCCAGATTTTAGCTTAATCTACTAAACATGGACACTGCAATCTTGCTAAACAATTACTTCTTCTCTGCGAGTTCTGACTCAACTTTAAGATTACGATTTAAGAAGCAAGTTAAACTTAAAAGTACTTACCCAGGCCTGAATACTGAAAGTCTATCAAAACCAATCTCCTTTAAATCTTCTTCTGCCAAACCCTTCAATGAAGGAAAAAATATTTAAACTTTTAAAGAAACAATACTAGAAAAATAAAATACATATTATAAACAGAAAGATGAGCAACTGTTTCAAGCTTTATATTAAATCACATAAATAAGAAGTGTTTTGTTTTGTGTAGTTTAACAGTCACTTAAAATAACAATTATGCAACTAAATTGAACTGTAATTAGAAAAAGAAAATTCTTGGAAGATAGTGGACAGTGTGATCTAATTACACTGCTGTTTGTGATCATAAAGAAGTTGTTAAACTGGTATTAGTCAAAATAGTAAACAGCTACACCAGTAAGCAAATATTTTATATACATAGACTTTAATTTCATAACACAAAAGGAACTGAAAGGGCAAAATTTGAGAAGAAGATATAATCACAAGATGAGTTCAATCTAATTATGAATATGCAGCTGTTTTTAGCAAATAAGTACACAAGCTCATTAATGTTCTCCTTGCAACTAGCAAACAATTCAAACACCAGAATTTTCATATCAACATTATTTAATATTTATAATTATAATATTTTCCTTCTGGTACACTACACCGATATACTAAAAAGCAGATTAAACTAAAATTAATATATTTTAATGTAGAATAATTATAAAGAATGATTAAACACTCTGAAATCCTTTTTCTCATTACTTAAAAAATGTGAAAATATTAAGCTTGTTCTCTAAATGCAGATTACTGAAATAATTTTTTTATTCAGGTGGTTTTCTGAAAATCAATTTTCCTTAATTTTCAGCTGTAATATAAATAATTTCTTGGTTGTAAAGTCTGCTAAACATAGGTAATGAAAATAACATGGAAATTTAAATAAATTCCATGTAATGTTTATCAAAAAAATAAAACAAGAGTAATGGAAATCAAGTAAATGTTTTTTTATAAGCCTTAAATTTCATACCTTTGTTTTGTGATACAAAATTTTGCTCTTATGATTAGCACCACTGCTAGAAACAAAAATGAAATGTTTGCATCCATGCTGCTTGGCTACTTTAGCACTGTTGACTACATAATCATGGTCTACTTTGAAGAAACCATCCTAAGGAACAGATATTGATAGATTTTAAGATATACAAATAAATACTTTTATACTAGTTATGTATTTAAATTGATACTTATAAATGTCAATACAAAAGTTTACAAATGTCAAATGTAGTTCAACAAGACTTTTTTTAAGAATATTGTTCTCTACGTTTCTACTTTACATTTTTTGTTTTGTTTTAGATATTAGTAACTACTACTCTAGAGGAATTCAGAAATGGATATTTATATATGGTAAAATATGATTTTTTTTTGAAAGACCTAATTAGGGTGTGCATGCATAAAAAATACTTCACTCACTCATAAAAATCAAGTTTCACATAAACCCACATGAATAATTCTAATTTAATAAAACTTGAATACAAGTATCTATTTAATCTAATTTACCTATTTAATAATTTAATGTTTGTTTTCCACTGTTCTTAGGGCCATTTTAAAATGAATTTATTCTGTTTGCATTTTCAAGCAAAAATAAGTAAAGACTAGGTGTTTCAAGTTTTGGTTCAGAGTTGAAAAGATGAAACATGCCTCAGTGAATTTTTTTTTCTTTATAAATTTTAATATGTTTAATAGAGTTGCTACATCTTTTCAGTCTCCTTACTATCTGGATGTGCTTATTGGGAAAGCATTTTCTTTTCAGTTTCTTTTAGGTTTTTAACAAAGCTACATGAAGTCTATCTGAACATAATTATCTCTAATTTTGAACTGATAGAGAGAAGGCAGTTAGACAACAATATTTCACTGCCACCCCTTGGGCTGCTCTTGTCTCACCAAGTAGTAGGATTTAACCATCACCAAATTACAATTTGTTTTTGTGACGATTTGACTTAAACCTTGAATTCTCAGATTCACAGTCCAAGAATGCTGACAATTAGCCAAGCCCATACCTTTTTTAGCATTCTACATTTTTTGTGATTGTTTGAACAATTTAAAAATACACTGCATGTGTAGAACTGTATTATTGCCCTCACATTTTTATTTAGAACAGTAGTTATTCTCCGTTTATTTTGACAAATGGGAGGGTCTTGAATGTTCACCCCTCACAAAGAGAGTACCCGATAGGAAACAATTTAATACTCCACGATTAAAAATATCTTAAATCTTTGATTTTAATTGCAAGTTTTCATTTAATGAGCAGCTGTTTTGGTCTAGAAAACTTTATTTGAAAATGAGTCCCTTCCCCCAATTTGTGTCAAGATTTGCTAAAAGTCCATTGCCTTTTTGCAACATTATTTGTCTCCAGAAAACCTGTTTTCAGAGCTTAACTAGCCAATATACACTGGAATACTTCCAGAAGACATGTTTACCCTAGTATCAGTTGAAAATGCATGGTAGGAAGTTGTGATATTGGCATGAAATGCAAACATTACGGAAGCAATCATGATGGTTTTTTTGTTGGAGTTAAGTGATCAGAAAGATTGTTCAAAAACTTTAGAATCCATTCAAAAGAAAACAAGAAATTGTGAAGCAGAGGGATCAGTATGATCAAGATACTTTTAATATTGTGATCAGGTATATAGTGGAAATGTTTTTCTTAAGCAATTAAAACAAAACTGCAGTTTTTCAGTCCATAGGTGTAGGCCATGATGAGGCAGTATATGACTAACAAAGTAAAATTCAAAGTGTAATTGTTGTTAATCGTACATTCCTATGTGGGGAAATGTCATAGTTGTTTTAACTACTTAAAAGCAAAGAAACATTTTAATGTAAAGCTGATCACAATAAGAAATATAATCATTCAGTGAAACATTAATTTATTAATAAAATACTCTGTTCTTCTCATTGTGAACCACTTTTACCGTGTTAGATCATTCATTATTCACAGATTTAGATATGACTGATCAGACCTTAACCAACAGCTCAAGAACATGTATTGTTGTTTTAACTAAATGCTATACAGTGTGTCCTAGATGTCATAAAGATATTAAAAACCATTTTTACTGTGCAAATATAATGTCCAAAATGGAACAGACTTGAGAAAAAGTAGCCTTACTTTATGAATACTTTGTTTGTTTCATTGTGGTTTTTGAAGCAAAAGATCAACCCCTTAACTTACACAATGTTTCCTATGAGAAATTGATCTAGCATATTTTCTCTCATTCAAAGTTGCTTTTTATGGCAATTTGTAATAATTTTATGATTAAATAAAATAATTATATAACTAGTGATTTTATTGTACACCTATTTTCAGAACATTTATTTAAATCATACTTTTCAAAGCCTCAACAAAGGTCAATCTGTTCCATATATATGTGTCCGTGGCAGTTCTAGAGATGTGGCATATTTGTTCCCATTAGAGTAATTAGTTATGCAGGAATTATAAGTATTTTATACAGTTCATCTTAGAAAATGCTCATAAGATAAATGTATAGTTGAAGTCTTTATGATATATATATTTCTTATACACTGTTCTAATTTTTCTTGATAGGAGAGAATATTAAGAATCCTTGATGATTTTTGTATTTTCAAATCATTGAAGTACATACAGCACCAGCTTTTCCTTTGGTTGTTCCCAAACAACAGAATCCAATTTCCAAATCTTGAAAAGCACTACCATAATCTTCAATCTTTTCAAAATCTACTATACGTTGTTCCTGACATAAACAAGACTTGATTAGTAAAATCAGCAGTTGCACAATAAAAACAAAACAGTAACAAAAAATAGAAGAGATATCTAAAATGTAAATATCATGTAAAGTAAAATGGTTTTGTATTATTTTGAATATACCAATGTCATTTACATTTGTTATTGAAAGAGATTATTTTAGTTATCTTGACTCGACTGCAATAAATTTTTTAAAGGCTTATAATTTTGGTAACATACGAGGTCATGAGCATCAAGTTACATGTACACAAAAACTACTCAGCAATATATTAAAGTTTCTCCACTACAAGGGTCAATCTAGATGTTTCTTTTGAAGTTAACTTATATACAAAACATTCACAATATTATCTGTTTCTTATTATTTACTTCTTCTTACTGCTTCTTGTAATGTTTCAAGAATTGTTTGGGGGTCTCCAAGATAAATTTTTTAGAATGGAATTCACTAAAGAAACCAAAAAATTGAAAAAACAAACAATACAAAGAATTAGCAATTAAGAGAAAACACTAACAAATTTAGTTTAGAAACTAAACAAGTTGAATATCATTTCATCTTACTGTATATTCCTTAGAAGATAAATCCATATTTGAAAATTAATACAAGAATTTTGAATAAATTTAAGAAGTTTATTAATACAGTACCTAGATTAAATTAGCTATTAAATTCATTTTTATAAATTACATTATTATTTTTGGTTCAGAAGTATTTTCATTAACTATTGCTAAGACACTTGTACACATTAACAAAATACTTACAAATATATGAATGATTTTTTAAAATTACTTACATATTTGGTAAAAGGTTCTTCTTCAATCTTTCGTCTCCCGATCAGTACAATTTCAGAAAACTTATCTTCAGCTGACACTGCTTTGAGTAGTTCTTGTCCAACTTCTCCAGATGCCCCAAGTATAAAAACAGAACAGGGAGGTTTATCAGTAGCTTCCATTGCCATTGTGTTGTTCTTACTAACAGAGTAATACATTAACATAGTCTTTAAAATCATACATGTTAAATGAATATTTTTATGAATTTGTTTTATTTACTTGAATCATTCTTAATGTTGAAATCTAGTATCACTGAGTCACAGCACACTGTTTGAAGAAAATTTGTTACCCTTTTACTAGAGAAAATCAAACAATACCATATAAGAATTAACACATTTTCATTCTACTTATTGTTTTACATCATAATGATCAGTGTTTATATTGAAGTATCAAATTATTTATCTTACAATACCTTGAGAGAGCTTTGTTTACAAAAGTCCCACATCAAGAATCAGAAATGGCTTATCACCCTTTTAAAAAATAGGGGTATTTTAAGCAATTCCCAAATCTTTGAGCACTTTCCTAACATACTATCATTGATCTATCAATGTTGAAAAAGAAAGACTGACATATCTGATCCTTGAATTCTATTAAAAATCTGAGAAAAATGTCTGATCCTGGTGCTTTTATGTATTTTGTCTTTTTACTTAGCATCAAAGAATTAACATCTACATGATTTAGGTTAATTACAATATTTCCCAAAGAGTACTCAGGGATAGAAGTATTTCTAACATCCTCTTGTGTAAAATTTGATGAGAACAACTTCAAGAAAGCATTTAAATACCCAGACATCTCATAATCTTCATGAAAACCTTGTCATCATTATATTTTCAGTACCTAAAAGTATCTTTAACTTGTATTGATAAAGTTAATTGCAGTGGGAAGCATAGAAAGTCTAGGCCTAGAAGTTGCTTTCCAAGTGCTAAAGTACAGGACATTATATAGTGCATTGACAATTTAGTTGCAGGCATGAAGGAGCATTCTCTCGCTCTATTTTTTGTAGTAAATGTAGGACCTAATGATGCTGGAAGTTGAAAATCAGATGAGCTGCTTAAAAATTATAAAGAATGCCTTTAGAAGATACAAATAAATATGTGGCCTTTTGTGAGAATGTTCCCTTAGGAAATGAATTATTAAGCAAGATCCAAAGTTTAAATGAAAGATTTATGATAAATACATATTTAATAGCATTTAATAGATGAAATAATTTCAACACAATTACAACTTATAGATAATTTTAGAGAAGAATAATGTTAATGTTGGTAGAAAGAAGTAACTAGCAACTATTTGCTAGTTTAAAAAAAATAAATAAATAGGGGAACTGAAACTTAGTTATACTTGGAAAACATTATTTTGAAGATCCAGGCTATAAATCATTTAAAGTGATAGCTTTCTTAAAATAAGAGGTGTGCAACTCTTTATACAAAGGATGAACTGCAATCTGTTTTGAACTGAAGACTTAATAAATGAAGGTCAAAAGGTTTAATCTATAATGGTAACAATCAGGGGTTTCAAGAATTGAAAATTTTTATATGGCAACCACAATAGGCCACCTATCAGGACAGATGATGTCAATGAGAGATTGCATAATTATATCAGGCCTGTTAGTAATAAGAATACTAATTCAATAATTATGAAATACTTTAATTTTTAAATTTTAGACACAATGAGTGGAACTGTATGGAGTCAAATAGTGAGGGAGAGAAGTTTCTTGAATTGATTTAGAATGGTTTTCTGTAACAAATGGTCAAACAGCCAACCGACAGAGGATGCCATTATAGATTTGTTATTAACCCCAAATGAGGAAACAGGTAAGCAAGACAATGAAGTGAGGGAAAGATGGATTTGAAATATTCTTAAAAATAATTTGTTCTAGTCATGTTCTTAAGAAGAGGAAAAGGATAACAGGAGAAAATCATACCTAATTGGTTTACTAAAGACATAAATGTGAAAATCAGGTATAAATGCCATAAGTTTAAGAAGTTTAAATTGAGAGACAGGATGAAAGACTTACATAACTCTGAAAAGTTAGTTCTAAGACTTCATAAAATGTTAAAGGGGAGGAAAAAAAGGAGTTTATTAGCCCATCAAGGATGTCCCTTCCCAACTATAACCATCCCTTACTACTCATGTAGTCATCCAATCTTTTCTTGAACTCAGTTAAATTTTCTGCCTCAACCAGCCTTGAAGGCAGCACATTCCAAAAGCCAACCACCCTGTTTGAAAAGTAATATTGTCTAAACTGCAGACGACTTTTACACTGCCAAAATTTGAATTTATCCTCCCTTGTCCTATTGTTTTCATTGCTAAACACAAAAAAGTTTGATGGATCTACATTATCAATACTGTTAGTAATCTTAAACACTTCAAGTAAGTCCAGTTTAGGGATTCTAGTCTTCCTAAAAGGATAATCCCACCATCCCAGGTATCCTAATGGCTCTTCTTTGAACTTTCTCCAACAATTCAATGTCCTTCCCGAGGAAGGGAGCCCAAAACTGTTCACAGTACTCTAAATGAGGACTTACAAGTGATCTATACAGTGAAATAACAATGTCACTTGTCTTGTATTCAATATTTCTATAGATGCTACCCAAATTCCTGTTAGCCCTATTGCTAGCTATAATACACTGTTTAGATGAGTGATTTTTAAATCACAACACCAGACAAAATCTTTTTCATATAATTCCCTGAATAGTTTCTCAATTTGAATGTTTTCTAAGAGATTTATTTTCAGAATTATAATGGGGGAAGGGAGATTTTTTTATTTATCTAGTGATTTGGCAGGAGGCATTCGAATGTTGAATTGCAATATGTTTATTAACGTGGTCTGTTTTATTTCATAAACATGCCTAAAATGGTACAGTTTTCTAGCTGTTTCACATCATATGTTATCATCTAGAAATAAAACCCTAAAACTTGCAAAAAGATCTGGTGGGGGATGGAAACCCCTGTGTGTGCTGATGACTATTAAGCTTTTGATTAACAGGTAGTTGAATATGAAAAGACTGTCATTAGATAGAGTGTTGGTTGTTTACTTTGTTTTTGGGATTAAGAGTGAGTTTTAATCTCACAAATATTGTTCTACTTTGTATGTTATTATTACTAGTGATACATATAGTTTATATTATTTCATTATATTTTATCTCATGAACTTCTAAAATGTTTCTCTATTAACAAAATATTTCATTAGTAAAGCTGGGTTATTAGTGGAATTTGCTGTTAATTCTTTAATCATTTGGTTCATTAATCATTTACACAGAGCAGATTGATTATTCTCATATGAGACAGCTAAAGAAAAATTATAATGTTAAAAATCAGGGTTCAATACCATGGTGGGCAGACCACAAAGCCCACTGTGTAGCTTTGTGTTTAACAACAGCATAATGGAACATTGGATAGGCAGAATACTCAAAAACAGTAGAAGAGGTTAGCAACTTACAAATTTTAGAGATAAGTCTGTGATTTTTGATAAATAAAGGGTGGGTTTAATTCATACTTTTTTTTTTCGAGGGTGGGCATAAAGGGACAAATTTGAAGGACCAAATGTTTCTTATTGTCCATAATTTAACATAACTGGAAATGGCTTTCATTTGAGTTTCCAAGTTTATAATTGAGAAAATTGGTGTCATGTTTCCGAAGGTTTATGAATATAGTGTTCCAGATTTTTGAATTAGAAACGACATTATATAAGTTTTCATTTTAATTAAAGAGAAGGAAGAGGTGAGTTGAATGATCTGGTTGTTAATTTGTGATCTTGACATGACAAATAACATAAAACTAACATAAGTTCTACTTTTTCTTAAATTTTAATAGATATTCTGACATTACAAGTAATATTAAAATGTAATTAATAAACCTACTGATCAGTTGTATTTTTGATACTTGACTTGTAAGATGGTATAGGTCAATGCATTAATGTTTCTCTTAAGTGATTGTTATCTTAATCAAATAGGAATTTCAAACTTTGAGCAAGTATTAGATACTTTTACAAATGTTTGTTCTATTTTCAGGTCATGCAATATTGTGCAAAACAATTGAAATAAAACACAACTCAATTTTATTAGCAAGTGATTAATAGTATGTGTACAAAAATTACTTTCAAGACATTCTTTTCTCTATTCTCTCAGCTAATATATAAATATTTTGGATAAATTTATTTTTTAAACATGGCAAAAGTGATACTGAATACTTTTAAAAGTAAATAAAATATTTTCTAAGCAATGAGAATTGGCTAGTACTAGTAGAAGTAAAGTTTTGGCATACTGCAAAGAAGATTACTATTTTCAGCCTTGTGAATATCTGGAATTTGAAAGTTGAAAATACACTGAACTGAAATGTAAACAACACACAGACATAAAATACTCTTTATCTTGATCATAAATTTTTATTTTACAAGTTATATGATAAACTCAGGCTAAGAGTTATATTACTATTACTAAAAAAATGAGTAAATACCTATAACTGATTAAGAAAAACCTTTTTACTAGTATTAGTAACTGTTAGGTGTGATTTTTAACTTATATTAACAGCTTACAACTACAACATAAGTACAAGTCTGTAGCTTAAACTAAAGCATTACCTATTAACTTCTAAGCATCTAACTCAGTACTAAGTTATAAATGTTACTAAAATTAAAAAATGTCAGCAATGTCACTTGTTAATATGCTACATTTTGAAGAGTCATTCTACTGTGATGTGGGTAATACTAAATTAGAGTGCAGATTCTTAAAAAGGGATTTTACCACATTCATATAATGGTGTATGTAAATTTTTGTAATCCAAAAATATTCGTATAACAATAAATATAATGTGATTAGCTTTCGATTCGTTTCAGCTTGATGATGACTTCTGAAGCAAATGGAAAGCTAGTTGCGCTAAAAAATATTGAATTACATATAACAGTGCGAGGAAAAATCCGTTTTTATTTTTAATCACGTTGATTCTCATACTAATAGTAATACTAATACAATTAGTATTTATTATTAGTAATAATAATAATAATAATAATATCACTATCAGTAGTAAGAGTAAGACAAATAAAAGGCCAGACTAATTTATATCGTATTACATAAAAATACACTTTACCCTTCAACGTTTCCAACCAAATTTAGATCAGAATATTCTATACTAGGCCCCGATACTATATTTCAAAATTTGTGTAATCCTAACTGAGCATGATAGATACAACCAACAAGGAAAAATTGAACAATAAGTGTTGTTATTCTCCTGCATTGATTTTTTTTTTTGCTAACTGTCATAACGTAACGCCACCTATTCGTTTTGTTAAAGTTTTTTCACTAAAAAATTAAAATTTCTAAAAACTTTTTACGATGATTACATATTTAAGATTATCCAATTAGTTGTTAATTCTTAGGTAGCTCAAAAACGAATCTTTTTTTGTCATTCGTAAAACCAGAATATGGTTAGCTTAAAAAATTCACCAAAATTTTCCCTCTAAACTAGCTATTGTAATGCATTGAAGAGGATTGAGTAAGTCATATTTGTCATGATATAAAAGACTGTTTAGTATTATTAATCTATTTATTTTGTGAGTGGATATTTCATGATTGTTTAGTTTTTCATAACAAGAGAATTAAAAGCAATTATTTTAAAGTAAACGTTATGACAAATTTAGTTACGTAACTCAGTAAGAATCGTACTTTGTGTATATAATTCATCGATGTTGAGGCTATCGAATGTCGCGTGAACTTTATTGATGTCGAGGATATAGAGATTTCTATAAGATGAGCAGAAGATTAAGTGATAAATATATATATATATATAGTGTGAGACGATCGGGAACAGCAGACAGACAGAGCAGATGAGAAAGTAAAGTCACGGGAAGTAGAAGTTCGAACAAAGAAAAGTTAAACGTAAAGTTAACTGCAGTAGGAGTGAAAGGCCTAACGATTAATATGTTACAGTAAAACTAACAGTTTAAAAATAGATAAGAGCTATTGTTTATTCCGTCAAAGCGACTTCTAAAATAATTGAACCAGCCTGAGTCCAATTGGACAAAAGGAACAGACGATATCTGAAGTACGAGGACCAGACGATTACTGGAAGGGCAGTATACAACTATGGTAACTCACGCTATAAGTTAATTATACACAGAATACTAGTGCGATATAAATAGAGAAAGGTAATTCGGCTTGTTAACTGAAATTGAAAAGCAATTGAATAGGCCTAAGTTGGTTTTTGATAAGAAGAAGAGAACTATATATTGTATTTATGATATACCTATGAACTCTATAGTGTAAAGCATTTGTTGTACTTATGTTTAACTAGTTTGAATATATATATTGTTACGTCTCCGTTTGTTAATTGATTTTCCGTAACTTCGTACCGACAAAACTTAAGCGACACAAGCCTTTACTTAATAAAACTGGTTTATTCTTTCCGAATATAACTTAACCGATACACTCAACAATCGCGCTAAACAAACGCTATAGCAACGAACGTCAATAATACTCCGACCGCAGATCAATTACTCACTATCTACTCACACATTACCTTACCTTCTTTTATATACCAGCGTAACCTATTTCTAGTAAGAACTTGAACACTCGACAAAGTACATGATAGTTCTAGAAACAAGAGAGCGTGAGAATTGTCACGTGATCTCGATGACGCAACAATATATATATATATTATTTTTAAACCAAATTGAGTGTGTGCTATTCGTTTATTTTTGAATTTATCACAAACAAGTCACAGACACCTACTATAGAAGAATCCTTAGCCCAGCACCCATATTATTTAACCTACTTACTAAATACTACTACTATATGCAATATTAAGCTAAACAGGTTCTTTATTTTGACAATATTAAAATGATTTTAAACATACAAATAAGAAAGCCACGTGATAACCACATCCGCCATAAAGTCGCGGTGGAAAGGCATGTATCAAAACCAAAATTTGGACATTGTCTGGCGTTTCTTAGGTAGTGTGGTGCAAGGAATATGGATTAATTGGGGAACCATCAAAATTGACTTGGAATAATTCCCACCCTTGCCGTGATAAGCAAAATGCGGCGTCTTGTGACATGTGACAACCTACGAATGCAAAGGTCAGTGACAAAAGTCGTCCATGTGTCCCAGGCAATAGTACACAACATGATCAAGAAGGATCTCAATCTGTGAAAGTGACACAAGTCAATTGCACACAACTTGCTTCCACGAATAACATATTTGTTGAACCTCAAGCAGCTGGAGGATTTTGCAATGGGAACTACATTGCATGGCTATTGTTGAGATACCCAGTCGGCAGACAGAACATGACTGTACATGACACTATGGACTGTAAGTATTTGGTTAGGCTCCAAAATCGTTTTAATATAATGTGCTTTACTCTTTGTATAATTGACAGATATGTTTACAATGCTGCTGAGTGCTTATAACAAACAGGAAGATGGTGCCTATCTATGGTGGAGTGTGTCATGTCCTTAAACAAAAATGTGTTCGCATTTTTGTGTTAGGTCTTGTCATCTGGACAGATCATGGATAAAGAAAAGTTAGCATAACATACACCCGTCATAGCCATGGCCTCAGTGCCAGCTATGACTAACTGTTACTGTAAATGAGCCAATAAGGAAATACCATGATGTGTATGCACTTCCAGAACACGCATCAGAGGTGAGGCACTAATAAAACTGAATACTGAAATTGAGCATCCAAAGAATATGCTCTATAAAATCGCCAAGGCACCATTTTAACAATACCCAACAAGTCGCGAGTCTGCTTTGTTTTCCAGTAAAGCAGATAAAATAAAAAGCACAGACACTCACAGACAGATAAAAACCATACAAGGTGCTATAAATATCAGAAAGCAAACGCAGTGCACTATAAAACCTATTGAAACAAAGTCTTGAGATACTGTTTTAATATATTACATGAAATGCAGAAATACTAATATAAAAATTACAGGACTACAGTTTACGAGTATAGCACTTGAATTAATACCGAGTCATTTCATTATAATACAAGAGCAAATCCTCGACAGCCACAGCACTTGAAATTCTTTAACGCAGGATTAGAGTAAATTAATCTATGAGATATTTTATTCCTTTTTATTAGCTGTATTTTTGTGCGCCAGCAATACCAAATGTGTGACGCAAGTACACCCGATTCGATTTTATTACTCATTAGGATCTCTACCAGCCTACTCTCAAATTAATTTTTTTTAGGCAGAATTAGAGTAAATTAATCTATGAGACCTTGGGCGTGATCAAATACACCAATCGAAAGGGTTTTACCTCCTGAGTCCAAAACTGTAATTAGACAGATCTCAAATAGGTAATGAGATAACGGAGCTATGAGCTAAAAGTTTGTACTTGAAAAACTCAAAGCTATTGTATGAGCCGCTATACTGTGGCTAATTAATGCACTATAGAGTTAGAAATTATTAAATTGCAGTAGCATGTGTGAATATGGCTATTAACATATAAACTCTATTCATTTATTCTTTTCTCATAGAATATGCCAATCGTGCAGTGTTGCTTGAGTGTTGCTGGGAGTAATTCTTACGAATGTGCTGTACCTCCCACAAGAAGTCCTATTCTGGACTGACTGTAATTCCAAGTTGGCTAAGTAGAGTGAAATGTTCACAGCAGCTGGGAATGCGCAAAAATCAAGAAATAGTTTCTCAGTTCGATCAAGCCAATGCAGTTCAGACAGTAGAACAACAACTATACAAAATTACATAAAAAGTCAAGTAGTCAAAACAGGAGCTGTTGAAAAATCACGCATTAGACTTGTTTGGTTCATACGCTGTATTCTTTTACTTCAGACATAAACAAAGTCTGAGGTGATCAGCTGATATGTATGCTGATTGCACTGTTGGAGAGAAGCTATCTGAGGGTTGCGGCTTGCCTTTGTAGTTATATTGTAGTTAATCATTTGGATTTTTATGAAATGCTTGGAAGATATTAAGCAGCATACTGTAGTATACTAGGTGTTCTTACATCAGATAATTTTAATGACGCCCCTGGTTCTGTGTCAGAAGTCATGCAAACGCTTACTTACATACTGAACATATCCCTTCGAATGTGAGATAATTGCACTCACCTACATTTATATTTTGTCTGAAACAGTAGACATTTTCTTACAACACTATAACACTGAAGACGAAAGGCGGAAGACTTTCGAAACGTCGTCCTCTATATTTGTAAGTTTCTACATTTGAAACTTAGATTCACTATAACAGTACATGACTTGGGTTATGCTTTTTGATATTTACACATAACTTGTGTTATGCTCCATTGTTATTCGTGTTTTATTTAAGAAAAAGGTTTCAGTTTTGTAAAATGTGAAAGGTGAGCACCAGGAAGAATGGTAGTTACAAATACAGAGATGGTGTATGTTGTTTTATCTGAATGCTGTGAATCTTGACAATAGTCCTGCAACGCACTTTCCATTGTAAAAGGCTCGATTGTAAAAATGTCATGTTTAAATTACACCCTCCTCCCTGCTTGCTTTACATAAGGCATCTAATGTATGAAGATCACAGTTTCCTAGTGCCAATTGCAACAGTTCAATAACACAGAAATTCACAAGCACAGTGTCTGGCCATTTGGCCAGTATTTATTTGTGTGGAACAGCATGAATACACACTTCATTCTCCAACTGCTTGAGTTATGTAATTGTTCAACAGATATGTCGTGTAAGCAACTTGCATATATGTGACCTATGTTTCTTTTCTAGACAGAAATCCTTCTCGATTATGCTGTGTACTGTTGCCTGGGGCATGTGAACAGCTTTTGGTACTTACCTTTGTATTCAGGGATTCTCACCTGTTACAAAACGCTGACCTTTGTTTACCTCAGCTGGTGCTCCATGTTGATCCACATTTCTTTGTTTGTTGGTCATGTCATTAAATGTAATGGATATACACATCTCGGAAATTCTAAATTCCCTAACTGAATTCATCCATAATTTTAGTGTACGAATATCTTGCATCAGTAAGGGCTGTTACAGATTCTTTTTTTTTTCAAAGGCGATTAAGTTTCGGTAGCGTTCCACTACCTACATAATGCCAAACAATGTTAAAAATATAGTTCTGAAACATACTCTTCAAAGGCGAACATAAATTGACTCTGGTTGGTTTGCATAATAAATATATTTTTAATATAACATACTCAACCCTCTATATTAGATGAATTGTAACTTCCAGTTGACGTCAAGAAGGTGCAGGCAAATTTAATAAGGCGTAGAATGACATTAACACAAAAAAGA